CTCTAGGATGCCCAGGGCACATTCCCAGAGGGTTATTCTGGTTCTTCACTCTTTACTTCCCCAGAATTGCAGTCATAGTCATCTGGATCTTGTGACCGCACTGAGCCATGCCTCACATGCAGAACAAGGCTGCCCATGACCCCTTCCCTGCCCAGGAATGCTCTTCCTGGTGGATGCCCCATGAGCTCTTCGGTGAGGGCACCGTGAGGAGCAGGTCCACAGCTACCTCTCCCAGGTCAGCCCCATCCTGGGACTGATGTGATAAGAGGTAGGTTTCTGTCAAATAGTTACTGAGCACGTATCTTTTGCGGAGCATAGAGCGCAGGGTTGGATTTGCCATGTTGATCTAGACAGCCTAATCCCTACCTTGTGCAGCTGCCCTGATGAAAACACAGGCATAGGAGGGGCACAGAAGTCCTCTCTTCCACTCCCTTAATCTCTGGGGCAGAGATCAGAGAAGTCCCTGCTGCACTCCAGGGTCCGAGAAGAGATCTTGACTAGATGTGATCACAGGGGAAGAAGGAAGAAGGGAGTACAGGAAAACAAAGGGAATGTGGGCATGACCTGAAGATTTCCGGGGTTCAGGTGAAGATGTAGGGACATCCACCAAGTAGATACAGATGAATAACATTAGATAAATAACAGGATCTAGGAGAAGTGGGTTCTCAAGAAGGAGTGACTGTGATTGAGAAAGACACCCTGGCAGGGCAAGTCTTCAGAAATCCAAGAAGATGCACTTTTGTTCCCCAAGTCCAGGAACTTGTTCACTGGTTGGCCCTGATCTGCTGGGGTCACTGGAGAGGAAGACAGGGAAGAGCCACGTGTCAGCAGAAGAGAGGTGGAGAGGGGGAGAACATGGGCAGAAAAAGAGGAGATTCCACCTTAGGAGAGCCTGGATGGGAGATGTCTGATGGGAATGTCCACATGTAGGGGTATATTTCTAGATATTTCATATAAATGGGATGATGTTAATTTTTAGAGCGTTGTGAGAGAAGAAGACAAATTCCAACTATCTTGCTATTTTCTAAAAGACAGTGCATCTTCAGCAAAATAAAAATTTGCTTCACAGGTGCTATCCTGGGGGACTATAAGCACTGTGGTTTTAAAAGGCTTTTTACATTTCTTTTACCATCATACTGCTTTTTTTTTTTCAGAAATATATACCCATTAAAATTGTTGACATAAATTAATACTACATTATTATGAGAGTTACGCACATACCTTTTTGACACATATACTCTGGACCTTTCAGAGGTTATTCATTGAGAAGACCAAGAACATTCACTACCTAATGTATTCATGCTGTTGTTTTTGAGGAGTAAACTCTTGAAGCTCTGGAATTAATTTTCTTGGCTCTTGGAGTAATTCCTAAGAGGTAATGAAACTCTTCTTTTCTAACCCTCTATTTATTTAAGAACCCTCCCATCTCTCTTTTTTTGACAATGGGCCGTAGATACATGGTTCACATCATTAGCTGCTGAGTGGAAAATGAGCCATGACAGGAAATGAGAACATAAGTTTAAGTACAGAATTTTGGAAATCAAATGGCTCTAGACCTGAGGAAATAACACGTTATTATTTGATATAGACAGCACTTTCTAGAAGGACACTGAGAAGGAGAATCTAAAGTTTGGGTAAACTAGGAAGTTCAGTTATGACTTTAATAGTTTAATTGGCTTTGTGTCCTGAAGGGGCAGGGTCACAGCTGAGTCAACACCAGGTTGCCGTTGACCCCAGACCCTGGGACCAGGACCAAAGGAAGACTCTCGGCAGTGACAAAGCTGACCTCGTGGAGCAGCGGCCTTGAGATGAGAGCAGAAGGAGGCTCCCTATGCAGTGCAGGGACAGAGGGGGAGGTGCAGGTGCTGTCCCCTGAGTCTGGTCCTCTCTTGAAAGAGGGATAGATAGAGAACAGGTGCTGAGGTGATGGTGATCAGTGACATCTAGTGTGGCTTCTTGAGCTTCTTTCCCCTTTGTTTCTCCTCTGAACTTAGGAGGCCAACCTGAGGGTGTTTATCTTCTTCTTGTCTCTCCTGAAGCTGCCTGATTCTCCTATCAATGCCTCCTTGATGGGCATGGATGTGTCTTGGCCTGGAATTGATCTGTGAAAAGAATATCAGAAAAGTCAGAGAGCCCAAGACGGAGTTTTTTGAGACAGAGACGGTCTTGCCTGTGTCTCAGCCCAGCTGTCAGTTTTCACAAGACAACACCCATCACGAACTGAAGATGAGGGTGGAGGGTGCAGTGATTCACACAGTGGGGCTACTTAGGCAGAGATCCTGGTCTTTTTCCTTTTCCTGTCTTGTCTGGACCCCAGATCTCCCAGCCATGGGTTCAGCATGTAAGTGTCCCCAGCTGCAATGTTAGGGACAGGCAGTGTGTGGCTGGTCAGATAGTCTCCCTGGTCACCATGACGCTGTCATGGGAGATGGCGTGAATGATTTAGTCCGGTTGTCTTGAAGGCTGAGATTCCTCACCAGTGGGTCAGGGAGGGGAGATCTTTCTCATTCTGGAACTAAAAAGTGAAGATGTCGTACATAAAACTGGAGAGTCATTTTGTTTCCAAATAGGAATTCAGCCAGAGGACAGGGGAGGTTATGGAGAACTAACATCTTACATATCTCAGAGATAAGTTTTCCTTTGCCTGTTGCCATGTGGAGAGGAGAAAGGCCTGTGATGACTTTGAACAAGGCTGGGGAGCTGTTGTCTAAGTTTTCATTGTGACAATGACCTCCAGCCTTTCTGCGGCCCCCTTGCACTTGAAGGACCCCTCAGCAGTGTGATCACTGCCCCACACTCAGGTCCTAAGGCCCGCCTTGCGCTCTCCCCTCCCCCAGGCTTCAGTCCCTCCTCCCCAGACACCGGTGCTAAATCTGACCACTCTCTCCCAGTGGCCCCATCTGGTCCCATGGGCTTCACACTTCCTTCCCCCTTTTTCATCTTCTCTGAAGCATCAGGAATTGTCCTCACAAACTTACCTCAGATCCTGTGTCCTCCTTGTCCAACCCTCTAATGGCTCCTCTACCCTCCCCCACCCAAACTCACCCCTCCTCACTGTACGATGCCATCTTATTGCATCCATATTTTTACTTGTCTTTTCCACAAGTCGGTGTCAGCTAGAATATTCTAGGCTTATCTATTAGCCTTGATCCATTTTGGTATCAGTGCTGGGCTCTGCTACGAGGGCATAAGTCTTAGATGGCAGAGTCTGGGAACTTCAGTACAATCAAATTCCCTTGAAATCCCCCAATTGTTTTGGCCTGAGAGTGAGGCTCAGCCTCCCCTCAAAACCTGAGTGGGCAATAGTTTTCTAAGTATTCTTATCTGATGCCCTGGGCTGAGCAAGGTCCTCAAGTATCCCTGATCCCTCACCTGGCCATAGCTACAGTGAGGAGAGTGATGGGAGGAGGGTGAGGGAAGGAGTCAAGGTCTTGGGGAGCACCTCTACTCCCTCAGGCCTCTAGTGAAGCTCAAAGGCCCACACCTCCTCACCCCCTCCCACCACGGGGAGGCACAGGAAGGTCCGTGAAGACACAGCTGGACCTGCCACCTCAGCTCAGGACTTCAGTGCAGAGACCCTGTGCCCCAAGCTGCAGAAGCCGGATATTCTGTTTCCTGGAGTCCCTGTTAATGACTCTGAGGACAAAAGTGTGGGAGCCTCCATTCCTAGGCAGGGCCCTGGCTGGCCCTAGGCCCATGGGGGAGTTGCAGCAGCAGAAGCTACAGGTCAGGCGTGAGCAGCAGCTGCAGGCACTCACCCTCCTGGCAGAGGAGGAAGGGGGTTCTTGTCTCAGTTCCCCACTGGCCTGGAGCACCGTGTGAGCACTCAGACTGTTATCCCATGCTTCGCAGTAATAATCAGCCTCATCCTCAGACTGGAGTCCAGTGATGGCCAGGGAGGCTGAGGTACCAGACTGGGAGCCAGAGAATCGGTCAGAAACCCCTGAGGGTCGCTTATTATTTCCATAAATGAGCAGTTTGGGGGCTGTTCCTGGGAGCTGCTGGTACCACTGTACATAATAACCCCCAATGTTGGAGCTGCTCCCAGTGCAGGAGATGGTGACCCTCTGCCCGGGTGCCCCAGACACTGAGGGCGGCTGCGTCAGCACAGACTGGGCCCAGGACCCTGGAAGTGGGAGAGACACAGGCATCATGATTCTGCTTCTAGAGACAAGAGGAGAAACCAATCGTCAATAGGCTTCCCAGGGCCCCTCCCCTGGACCTGTATCCAGTCACCTGTGCAGTGAATGAGAAGGGTGAGGAGGAGAGGAGACCAGGCCATGCTGGAGACTGTCCCGAGTGCTGCCTCCTGTGCCCACAGCTGAAGCAGAGCTTCCCCAAACCTCTCCCTGCCCCTCTTCATACTCTGAGAGTGGGAGGGTCCATCCATGCAAATCAGACCCCAGCTTTCTAATCCCACCCTGGGCCCTGGGTCAGGCCCCTATGCCTGAGGATGTCAGGGGGTGGCAGGGGTGGGGCTATGTGGTATCAAGGGGTGTAAAGGACACAGTTTTGAGCCCTGAGCAGAGGACATTAGGGAGGGCAGCTGGCTGGTTCTGCTCTCATCTCCCCACTCTTCTCAATAATGGTCCCCAAGCGCCCCCTGGTGTCCAGACCAAGACAAACTGTTGTATGACAAGGTGACCAGAACCTCCAGAGACACCGCTGCCTCCCCGCTGTTCTGGCCACTGCCCCCTCTCAGAGCCAGGCCAGGAGGTGCTTGCGTCTTCTCCCTGTGATCTCAGGGCAGTTCTCCCACTTTACTGGGCTCCTCACAAGTGAATCTGTCTGGGGAGCTCTAACTGTTTATCGTAGAGGACTCAGGTGGTGACTGAGTGGTGACTGCCCTCATAGGACAGAATCAAACCCATAACAGTGACCAACTTTGAGGGACTCACTTTCCCACGTGTGGAGACACCTGATCCTCTCATGTGGCTCCTCCCTGGTGGCCAGAGCTCTCCCTCTGTGGATCCTGCAGGGCTGAGTAGAAGGGAAGCTCTTCCCTCTAGGATGCCCAGGGCACATTCCCAGAGGGTTATTCTGGTCAATCTTCACTCTCTACTTCCCCAGAATTGCAGTCATAGTCATCTGGATCTTGTGATCGCGCTGAGCCGTGCCTCACATACAGGACAAGACTGCCCATGACCCCCTCCCTGCCCAGGAATGCTCTTCCTGGTGGATGCCCCATCAGTTCTTAGGGTGAGGGCAGAGTGAGCAGCAGGTCCACGGCCACCTCTCCCAGGTCAACCCCACCCTGGGTCCAGTATAATGTGGCCCATGTGATAAGAGGTAGGTCTCTGTCAGATAGTTACTGAGCACGTATCTTGTGCTGAGCATAGAGCGCAGGGTTGGAAATGCCATGTTGATCTAGACAGCCAAATCCCTACCTTGTGTAGCTAACCCTGATAAAAACACAGGCATAGGAGGGGCACTGGAGTCCTCTCTTCCACCCCCTTAATCCCTGGGGCAGAGACCAGAGAAGTCCTTGCTGCACTCCAGGGTCTGAGAAGAGATCTCGACTAGGTGTGATCACAGGGGAAGAAGGAGGAAGGGACTACAGGAGAAGCAAAGGAATGTGGACATGACCTGAAGATTCGTGGGGTTCAGGGGAAGATGTAGGGAAGTCCACCAAGTAGATATAGATAAATAACATTAGATAAATAACAGGATCTAGGAGAAGTGGATTCCCAGGAAGGAGTGACTGTGATTGAGAAAGACACCCTGGCAGGGCAAGTCGTCAGAGAATGGATGTGTCTTGGCCCGGAATTGATCTGTGAAAAGAATATCAGAAAGACCAGAGAGCCTAAGATGGAGATTTGTGGGTCAGAGACTCTCTTGCTTGTGTCCCAGCCCAGCTTTCCGTTTTCACAAGACAACACCCACCACAAACGGAAGATGAGGCTGGAGGGTGCAGTGATTCACACAGTGGGGCTACTTAGGCAGAGATCCTGGTCTTTCTCCCTTTCCTGTCATGTCTGGACTCCAGATCTCCCAGCCATGAGTTCAGCATGTAAGTGTCCCCAACCGCAATGTTGGGGACAGTCAGTGTGTGACCCAAACCCATAAGGTAAGCTGCCTGGTCACCATGACGCTGTCATGGGAGATGGCATGAATGATTTAGTCCAGTGGTCCTGCAGGCTGAGATTCCTCACCAGTGGGTCAGGGAGGGCAGATCTTTCTCATTCTGGAACTTTTTTGTAGTGAGGATGTCATATGTAAAACTGGAGAGTCATTTTATTTCCAAGTAGCAATTCAGCCAGGGAACAGGAGAGGTTATGGAGAACTAACCTCTTATATATTTCAGACATATGTTTTCCTCCCATTGCCATGTGGAAAGGAGAAAGGTCTGTGATGACTTTGAACAAGTCTGGGGAGCTGTTGTCTAAGTTTCCATTGTGACAATGAGCTCCAGTCTTCCTGCAGCCCCCTTGCACTTGAAGGACCCCCCAACAGTGTGATCACTGCGCCCCACTCAGGTCCTAAGGCCCGCCTTGCACTCTCTGGTCACCCAGGCTTCACTCCCTCCTCCCCAGACACTGGTGCTGAATCTGACCACTCTCTCCTGGTGACCAGAGCTGGTCCCACGGCCTTCACACTCCCTACCTCCTTGTCCATCTTCTCTGAAGCATCTGGAGTCTTCCTCACAAACTTACCTCAGATTCTGTGTCCTCCTTGTCCAACCCTCTAATGGCTCCTCTAGCCTCCCCCACCCAAGCTCTCTTCTCCTCACTGTGGGATGCCACCTTATTGCTTCAATATTTTAACTTGATTCTGTTTTCCACAAGTCAGTGTCAGCTAGAATATTCTAGGCTTATCTATCAGCCTTCATCCATTTTGGTGTCAGTGCTGGGCTCTGTTATGAGGGCATAAGTCTTAGATGGCAGAGTCTGGGAACTTCAGTGTAATCAAATTCCCTTGAAATCCCCCAATTCTATTGGCCTGAGAGTGTGGCTTAGCCTCCCTTCAATGCCTGAGTGGGCAAGAATCCTCAACAAATTTTTATCTGAGGAAAGGAACCTCTTCAGACTTTTTAAAAATCCTATTCTTACCCAAACTGTAAGACAAGAAAAAATGAGTAGATGGCTCAGGAGATCTGGTCCACCACCTGAGCCTCAGTTTATACCCCCCTCCTCACTTTAGTAAGAGCGCCCTCACTATTTTCTGGTCCCAGACACCTCCACCACCTCCCTCCATCCTCTGAGGGACTGCCTGGCTCTGCTGCCCAGTATAATGTCTGGACCTCCCCATGTCCTCTGTGGCGGCCTCCTCTTTATTTCTGTGGAAGGAGGAAGTCAGGGGGTGGCTGGGAGAGAGGAGAGAGGGGAGCCCTTAGTAGATTCCTGATTTCTAACTCTTCTCCTCATTGTGGCACTGAGAGGTGAGGAGCAGTTTGCAAGGGGTGGGGTTGGTGCCCTCTAACCCTGTCCTGGGCACATAGAAATGAATGTTTCTACAGATTCAGAGACAGCCCTTACAGAGTTTGGAAACAATGCCTGCGATGGAGGCCCTGGGCTGAGCAAGGTCCTCAGGTAGCCCTAAGCCTTCACCTGGCCATAGCTATAGTGAGGAGAGTGATGGGAGGAGGGTGAAGGAAGGAGTCCAGGTCTTGCGGGGCACCTCTGCACCCTCAGGCCTCTAGTGAAGCTCAAAGGCCCACACCTCTTCCTCCGCTCCCCCCACCATGGGCACGTACAGGGAGGTCTGTGGAGACACAGCTGAACCTGCCACCTCGGCCCACGATATCAGTACAGAGACCCTGTGTCCCAAGCTGCGGGAGGAGGATATTCTGATTCCTGGGGTCCCTGTCCCTGACTCTGAGGACAAAAGCGGTGGAGCCTTCACTCCTAGGAGGGCCCTGGCTGCCCCTAGGCCCATGGGGGAGTTGCACCAGCGGAAGCTACAGGTCAGGCGTGAGCAGCAGCTGCAGGCACTCACCCTCCTGGCAGAGGAGGAAGGGGGTTCTTGTCTCAGTTCCCCATTGGCCTGGAGCACCGTGCGAGCACTCAGGCTGCTATCCCATGCTCCGCAGTAATAATCAGCCTCATCTCCAGTCTGGAGTCCAGTGATGGTCAGGGAGGCTGAGTTACCAGACTTGGAGCCAGAGAATCGGTCAGAAATCCCTGAGGGTCGCTTATTATTGTCATAGATGAGGAGTTTGGGGGCTGTTCCTGGGAGCTGCTGGTACCAGGATACATAACCTCTCCCGATGTTGGAGCTGCTTCCAGAGCAGGAGATGGTGACCCTCTGCCCTGGGGCCGCAGACACTGAGGGCGGCTGCGTCAGCACAGACTGGGCCCAGGAGCCTGGAAGCGGCAGAGACACAGACATGGTGATTCTTGGTCTAGAGAGAGAAGGAGAAAGCAGAGCCTCATGGGCTTCCAGGACCCCTCCCCCGACCCTGTGTCTGGGCACCTGTGCAGTGAATGAGAAGGGTGAGGAGGAGAGGGGACCAGGTCATGATGAAGATTGTCCCGAGTCCTGCCTTCTGTGCTCACAGCTGAGGCAGAGCTTCCCCAAATCTCTCCCTGCCCCTCTTTATACTCTGAGAGGAGGGTCCATCCATGCAAATCAGACCCTCCAGCTTTCTGATCCCACCCTGGGCCCTGGGTCAAGCTCCTCTGCCTGAGGATGTCAGGGAGTGGCAGGGGTGGGGCCGTGTGGTCCCAGGGGGTGGAGAGTTCACATCTGTGAGCCCTAAGCATAGGGCACCAAGCAGGACACTTGGCGCTGGTCCTGCTCTCATCACACCCAGTCCTCTCAGGAATGGTACGCTGGCGCCCCCTCGTGTCCATTGTGCGACATTGTACACCACCATTGTATGACAAGGTGACCAGAGCCTCTCAGAGACACCCCTCCCTCCCGGTTGTTCTGTCCACGGCCTTCTCCATCAGGGCCAGGCCAGGCAGCCCCCTGAGTCTTTTTTACATGACCTCAGGCCAGACTTCACGTTCTCCTGGGTTCCTCAGGGGTGAATCTGTCCATGGCTCCCTGGCTGTTCACTGTATAGGACTCAGGTGGTGACTACACAAAGTCCTCTCATGTCAGAATGAAATCGAGAGCCCTGACCAGCCCCATGGACTCATTTCCTCACCTGTGGGGACACCGGGTCCTCTGCTCTCATGTCGCTCCTCCCTGGTGGCCAGAGCCCTCCTTCCTCTGTGGATTCTGCAGTGCTGGGTAGTCAGCAGCTCTTCCCTCCAGGATGGCCGGGGCACATTCTCAGAGGGTTATGCTGGTAAATGTTTGTTCTCTATCTACTTTTCCACACTTGCAGTCACAGTCATCTGGATCCTGTGCCCAGGGATCTCACCCAGGAGTCTGTTCTCCATCACTGAATGCCAGTCTGCAGGAGATCCTGGCAAATGACTTTGCAGTGTTTCGCTTAAGAGCAAAAAAGCAAATATGCTCAGTATTTGAAGATGGGAAGAAATAAAACGCTAACTTGTTTTGACCGGAGTCTGTACACTGTTGAGCCTGACACATGGTAGCCTTTAGGATCCACCATTCCAACTGGGATGTTTAGGAAATAATATGGTTCAAATTCAGTAAGGAGTGTTTTGGGCATGTCTTAAAGATGATAGAAATTATTCATCTTTGCTTTGTAATGAAATCTAGAATATGATACATTAAAAACAATAAACTGAAGAAAAAAGATAATCCTGTTCATTAAAATGAAACAGATTGTGTATGTGACTGCGGGAGTTCTGGACTGATACATCTTGGACTCAACAAATCTTTGTTTGTGGAATCCCATGTGGTTGGAGAACAGCAGGATAGTTATGTTATTTACTCTGGTGTATCTGTCACCTGGAAGTTGCAGTACCATGAGGTTTTAAATGCACCATCTAAACAATGGATTAGGTTGGGCATGGTGGCTCACGCCTGTAATCCCAGCACTTTGGGAGGCAAAGGCGGGCAGATCACAAGGTCAAGGCATCAAGACCATCCTGGCCAACATGGTGAAACTGAATCTCTATTAAAAATACGATAATTAGCTGGTCATGTTGGCTGGTGCCTGTAGTCCCAAGCTACTCGGGAGGCTGAGGCAGGACAGTTGCTTGAATCCGGGAAGCGGAGGTTGCAGTGTACCGAGATTGCACCACTGCACTTCCACCTGGCAACAGAGGGAGACTATGTCTAAAAAAAAAAAAAAAAGAAAAGAAAGAAAAGAAAAGAAAAAAGAAAAAAGGAAACCCCATGTCTAGTAAAAACACAAAAATTAGCCAGGCATGGTGGTGCATGCCTGTAGTCCCAGCTGCTTGGGAGGCTGAGGCAGGAGAATTGCTTCAACCTGGAAGTTGCAGGTTGCAATGAATCGAGATTGTGCCACTGCACTCCAGCCTGGGTGACAGAGCAAGACTCCATCTCAAAAGCAACAAAGGAGCAAACAAACAAAAATACAGAAAGAAATAGCGATATCTAATATAGACATTTAAATCAAACAAGCCAAGACATGTAACTGAAATGAAGTGTATTCTGTATTTTAGGATTGCATTTCATGGGTGTCATTATTTGAAATGTTCCCATTTATTGTAAGCCGTGTTATTTTAAATATTTTTATAATTTTTAAAAAATGTTTATTGTGTTTACGTAACACAGCAGGCATATTAAATTTTATTTCCTTTAAAGTAGAAAGGAATTGTAACTGGGCTTGCACTTTCTATTTTTTGTCACTGCCTCCTCTGTGATGATGCATAGACGTTCACGGTGAATTTTGTTTATCTTTTTCTCCCACCTCCAAGAACAGAGCTTCCCCCAGGCTCAGCGGTGTCTCCCATAGAGGACAAGACTGCCCATGGCCGCCTTTCTGCCAAGGGATGCTCTCCCTGGTGGACGTCCCATGAGTTCTTAGCCTGAAAGCAGAGGGAGGAACATTTCTACTGCTGCCTCTCCCAGTTCAGCCCCATCCTGGCTTCAGTATAATGAGGCCAGTGTGATGAAATGTAGGTTTTCTCAAATAGTTACTGAGCACCTACCTTGTGCTGGGCACAGAGCTCAATGTTGGGAACGCCATGTTGATCTAGACAGCCTCATCCCTGCCTCATGAAGCTGACCCTGATGGCAACACAGGGGTGGGAGTGGCAAAGAGGACCTCCCATTCTCCTCATTCATAATTGAAGCAAAGAGACCAGAGAGGCCCCTGCTGTACTCAGGGGTCTCAGAAGGGATGACTTGGTGGGATCGCAGGAGAACAGAAAACAAGACATCTCAGGACAACTGAGGAAATATTGACATGGCTTGAAGATTCCTGGGGTTCAGGTGAAGATGTCGAGAAGTCCACAGAGTAGACCTAGATGGAGTAACACAGAGATGAATAACACGATCCAGCAAAAGTGGACTCCTGGGAACAGAGGGATTGTCATCCAGAAAGAGACTCTGGCAGGACAAGTCCTCAGAAGTCCAACAAGATGCACTTTTGTTCCCCAAGCCCAAGAGCTTGTTCTCCTCGTGGGCCCAATCTGCGGGGGGTACTGGAAAGGAAGGCAGGGAGGAGTCATGTGTCAGCAGGCAGATGTGTGGAGAGGAGCAGAATGTGGGCAGAGAGATTCCACTTTGGGAGAGGATAGATGGGTGGTGTTAGACGGGAATGTCCAAATGTACAGTTATTTTTCTAGATACTTGATATAAATGGGGTGATTTTAATTTGTAGATTGTGAGATGAGAACACAAATTGATAGCTACGTTGCTATTATTCTAAAAGACAGTATCCTCAACGCAAAAAATTTCCTTCACAGGTTCTATCCTGGTGGAGTATAAGCACTGAGTTTTTAAAATGCTTTTTTACATTTATTTACCATCATACTGTTTGTCTCCAAAATACATCAGCTTATTACAATTTTTGACATACGTGAATACTACATTTTTGTGAAAGTCATATGCTTACCTTTTTGAAATGTATTCTCTCATCATTTCTGAGGTTATCAATTGACAAGGTCAAGAAGATTCAGCACCTAGTGCATTGCTGCTGTTGTTTTTGAGTTATAAACTCTTGAAGCTCCGGAATGAATGAATTTTCTTGGATCCTGAAGTGATTCCTAAGAGTTACTGCAACTTTTCTTTGCTAACCCTGTATTTATCTAAGGAACCCTCTCCTCCCCATTTTTCATGACAATGGGCTGTAGACACATGGTTGGCATCATTAGCTGCTAAGTGGAAAATGAGCCATGACAGGGAATGACAACATGAGAGTGACTATAGAATTTTGGAAATCAAGTGGCTCTAGACCTGAGGAAATGCCATGATATTATTGGTTAGAGACAGAACTTCCTAGAAGGATACTGAGAAGGAGAATTTAAGATTTAAGTAAACCACTAGAGTTCACTTAGAGCCCTGATAGTCCACTTTTTGTCCTGAAGGGGCAGGCTCACAGCGGAGTTATAGCCAGGCTGATCCTGATCTGAACCCCTGTGACCAGGACCCTGTGAAGACTCTCAGCAGTGACACAGGTAACCTGAGGGGGCAGCAGTCTTGGGATGAGTGCAGAAGGAGGCACCTCACGGTGTGAACAGATGAGGATGTGTTTCTCTAGGCCTCTGAGTCTGGTCTTCACTGAGAGAGAGGCAGATGGAGAACAGGTGCCCATGTGATGGTGGGCAGTGACCACTTATATTTCTTCTCGAATTCCTTTCATTTCCTTAACTCCTCTGGGCTTAAGAGCTCAACATGAGGGTGTTTATCTGCTTTCTGTCTCTCATGAGACTACCTGATTCTCAGATCGCTGCCTCCTGTATGGACTTGGGCTGTGTCCTGGCCTCAAATTGATCCATGAAAGGAATATCAGAAAGGTCGGGGAGCCCAGGATGAAGCACTGTGAGATGGGGACAGACAGGCCCATGTTACTGCCCAGGTTCCAGCCTCGATGAGACAGCACCCATCATGAACGTAGGATGAAGGTGGAGGGCAGAGTGATGCACACAGGGGGCCACATAGGGAAGACTCCTGATCTATTCCTATCTTTTCTGTACCATAGATCACCCAGTCATAAACTTAGCCTGTTATCATCCCCAACTTCAATGCCAGGGACAGGAGTGTGTGGCTGAAATTAATCAGAGAGCCCCCCCGCCCCAGTCACCATGATGGTGTCAGGGGAGATGGCATGATGGATCTAGTCCAGCCCTCCTGATGTCCGGGATTCCTGGCCAGTGGGTCAGGGAGGGCAGATCTTGCTGATTCTGGAAGGTTTTCTCTGAGGGTGTAATGCTGGGCACTGGGGAGTCACTTGTTTCCAAATACAAATTCATCCACGTGACAGGACAGGTCATGGGAAGGAGCTTCTCATGTATCTCAGAGGGAGATCCTCCCTGTTGCCATCTGGAAAGGAAAAGGTCCCCCTCAGCAGTAGGCTCCAGGTCCTAATCTTTCTCTCACCCAGGCTTCAGTTCCTCCTCCCCAGAAACTTGTGCTGAAGGGGTGGAGGCTAAACAGAGAAGACACATTACTGGGAAAACAGAAGGTTTTCCTCCCACCTCCCCACTGGCGCACAGCACTGCATAATCTTGGATGCTTGTGTCTCAAGATGCGCATAAGAATCAGCTTCCTTCACTGCCTGGAGCCCAGAGGTGCTCAGGGAGGCCATGATCCCCAACCTGGGGTCCAAGAACTGGGCTGGGACCTGTGCTGGCCGATGACTGCTGTCATAGATGAGGAGTTTGGGGACACTGCTGGTGCCAGGACACAGATCCACACCTAGCCTTGCTTCTGCTTCCAGTGTGATAGATGGTGGCAGTTTGCTGCACCCACATGAACACTCTCCACCACTGGGTCAGCACAGACTGGACCAGAACCTTGACATCTGGACTAATACAGGGTGAGAGAGGCAGGTCTGTTGAGAGGGCAACATGCAGGGTTCTCATTCCATTCACCCACAGTCCTTATGCCCTAGCCCTAGCCACCTGTGCAGTGGATGAGAAGGGGGAGAAAGGGAGGAGCTCAGGCCATGGTGGGGATCCCCACACAGCTCTGCATCCTGATGACCCTCAGCTGGGCCTGAGCTCCCCCAGTCGCTATTATTTCCTCCCACAGCCCAGGATGAAGGAGGGTCTCTTCATGCTCACCAGCCTCCTCCCCTGGGCTGCCCAAGTCCCACCCCAGGCCCTGACTCTGATCCCTGCCTAGAAAGCTGAGCCTGGGATGGGGTGGACCTGGGTGGGGCTGTTCTGTGTCTCCCTGAGGACCTGTAAGGACACAGCTTCTGGTCCCCGTGAGCAGGGGCACAGGGCTCCAGCCTAGGCCTAGAGGGTGGCTCCCAACTGGGATCCACAGCGCAGGCCTCAGAGAGAGCCCACAGCACCCTCTGCTGGCTGAAGCCCACACAGGCCTGAGAATCTGGCTTTCTCCACTGTCCACTTTGTCCTCTCCCTATAGGATGGAGCTGGGCAGTGTCCATGTCACTAAGCATCTGAGTCTCAGGTCTCCACACAGTCCTCGTGCCCTGGACTCACCTGCCCAGCTCACTGTGTGCTTTACAAGGCAGTCCTGAAGCTCATCCTCCCTGAGGGACCTCCCTTGGGGACCACAGAGCGGGAAGACCAGCAGGGACAGGGCGGTGCTTGCCTCCAAGACACCAGGAGCTGCTTCCTGTCTTCCCTCCCTGGCTGAGCAGAGTCTGCTCCCAGATGACTGGGACCTGCCCTTGGACCCAGCCTCTGCCTCTGTGCCTTCCCCTTCCTCTAAGGCCCTCACTGAGATTGCAGACTGGTAGGTAAGCAGGTAGGTAGGTAGGTACGTGAAAATATTTGCCCATCTGAGGAATAAATTCTAGAATAATGTAAACACCAAGTGCAATTAATTAATTGTTTTGTAGCCCCTACCCCTCCCCAGCAACCCTGGCACATCCTGGCCCTGGTGCTCTCCCAGAATCAGACTCTTTATGGCTTTGGTCTGTCCCAAGCATCTCTCTACCAGTCTGACCTCCAGATTGGGTGTTCTCAGTCCCTCAAGCCCCTCAAACACTCTGGCCTCCAGTATCTAAGCTTCCACCTCCTAGCAGCAATGGAGTGACTTTGTATTAATCCCGTTTCATCTTCCCAACACCTTTACTAAGTGGGTATTTTCATCATTATCTCCATTTTTCAAGTGAGGAAATAAAGAAGGAAAACTTGGGTTGCTCAAAGCCACATGGCCAGTAAATGCCAGGACACAAACCCAAATGATTGTTTGTTTATTTGTTTAGAGATGAAGTGTCATTCTGTCACCCAGGCTGGAGTGCAGTGGCATGATCACAGCTCACTGTAACTTCAAACTTCTGGAAGTAAGTGATCCTCCTGTCTGAGCCTTCCAAAACCTTGGGACTACAGATGCACACCAACACGTCTGACTTCAAACCCAAGTCTTAAGATTTAAGATCTAATCATCATTCTGCTTTATACCATAAAACCTGAGATCTAGATTTAGGATTAAGCCCCAAGATTATTTCATCTAGGCCTTTCTAGACTTATCTATCAGCCGTCTTCCACTTTGGTGCCAGTGCTGGGCTTGGCTAAGGGGACTTAGGTCTTAGATGCCAAAATCTGGGAACTTCAATCCTATCCAATTCCCTTGAAAGCTACAAATTCTTTTGGCCTGAGAGCGAGGCTCAGTCTCCCCTCAACTCCTGAGTTAATCCTCTAAGGATTCTTAGCTGAAGAAAAAAACCTCCTCAAAGAATTTTTTTGTCCTATTCTTACCCAAGCTGCAACAGAAGAAAAAATGAGTAAATGACTCAGGAGATCTGGTTAACCATCTAGGCCTCCGTTTTTGCCACCCCTCCTCACTTTAGTAAGAGGGTCCGCACTATTCCCTGGTTCCAGACACCTCCACCACCTCCTCACACCATCCGGGGTGACTGCTTGACTCTGCTGCCTTTGATATTGCCTAGCACTCCCCTTGCCTTTTTTGGCCACCTCCTCTTTATTTCTGTGGCTAGAAGAAGCCAGATGGTGGCTGGGAGAGAAGAGAGAGGGGAGCCCTGGGTCGATTCCTGATTTCTAACTCTTTCTTCTCTTCACTGGGGCCCTGAGAGCTGATGAGCAGCTTGCAAGAAATGGGGTCAGTGTCCTCTAACCCTGTCCTGGGCACATAGAAATCTATGTTTCTGCAGTTTCAGAGATAACCCTTACAGAGTTTGGAGACAATGCGTGGGATGGAGGCCCTGGGCTGTGCTGGGTCCTCAAGTAGCCCTGAGCCCTCACCTGGCTGTAGCTGCAGTGAGGAGAGCGATGGGAGGAGGGGAAAGTAAGGAGTCCAGGTCTTGGGGAGCACCTCTGCTCTTTCAGGTCCCTAGAGGAGCTCAAATGCCCACAATTGCACACCCACCCCCTACACAATGGGCAGATACTTTCTTGTAAATCTTGTCTTTCATACTCAGCTGTGTAAGCCCCACTCTGGGCACGGAAGGTGAAGCTGCTCCTGGGGGCTGGTGCTGAGAAAACAAATTCAGGGAAGAGACCTGGACACCCAGAAGCTCTGGAAGGGACAGAAGCTGGGACTGGGAGCATTGGACAGAGGCCAGTGACCATAGTTTTTTAATGTCATCCTCTTCAGGGACCCTCCAGAACAGACCCAAGCCCCTGTACGTCTGTGTCTCCAGGGCCCAGATCCTTCCACGTCTTCTATTTGTCACTGCTCTGGGCCTTGGGACTCCTCCTCATAAGGCTCCCAAAGACGATCTCTTCTCCAGGCTGCACCCTCCTTACCACATCTGACCCCACACCTTTTGCCTCATTCCCCCGCAAACCATCCCCTGCTCACTTTAAATAGCTTCTTTTGCATCATACTTGGATTGCAGCCTCCATAAGCATATTATTGCAGAAAGCCCACGTTGCAGAGAGCTCAGACCCTTTTCAGGACAGTTGTGCCTGGGCCACCCAAAGCTGAGCATCTCTCTTGCTTCTCTTCTACATCAGCCAAAGGCCAAGACAGAGCCAGAGCTTTCAGAATGCTGATTCTATGTTTCCTTAAGTATTGGACTTTCATTCTCACATATGGGTCTCTGGGTCACACAGGATGGGTTCTCCTTTCTTGTCATCTCTCAAGCAGTCTCAGAGCTCAGGAAATGGCCACCATGCCTGCGCCAACAGAAGACACCTATAGGACCAGGCAGGGGCACCTGCATCTCTGGGTCACACAGGCTGGATTCTTCTTTCTTGTCACCCCCACCTCATCCACACCATGTGTGGCCTGCTCCTTTTGCTTCTAGAAACAAATTGATTCTGTTTGCATTGGAGCACCAGTAAGCAAACGAGTTCTTTTCATTGAACTAATGCTCCACTTTCAGTAACACAAGTGACAGCAGAAGCCTTGGCATGAACTGGAGTTGGCAACAGGCAGGGATAAAGGAGGGATGGGGTAGACAGGAGGAGTTGGGGACAAATCTTTCTCTCACTTCTCCATGGATCAGGAGCTTTTGGTGAGATGGAGTCTGGATGCAGCTGTGGGATGCTTATAATCACATTTGTCCTCAGCCTGGAGCCCAGAGCTGGTCAAGCAGGCAATGTGGATGAACCCAGAGCAGGAGAATCAGGCTGGGACCCCTGTAGGTCCATCACTGTTGTCCTGGGTCACAAATATAGGTGCTGTCTCTGGGAGCCTCAGTAGCCATTTCCATGGGACTGCCCAATGTTTCTGCTGCTCCCCATGCAGGAATTTGACATCGAGATGTGGACCTCCTCAAGAGTTTCATGGGGAGGAGTCACTTGAAGCAAATATTGGGCAGTTTCTGTATCCAGAGGTTGCACCAACTAGACCCTGACTCAGTGAAAAGCTCTAATGGTGTAAGAGAAGACATGTGAACACGGTCATGCCCCAAGGGAGCAGGAAACCCTCCCTCAACAGTCCCCATGATTCTGAGTGGGATGAGCTGGAGAAAAGTCACATCCATGGGACCTCCTTCTACCAACGGCTCAGGAGCAGCCTCAGCTTCGTCTAAGCCATGATGCTACCCGCCACCCCCCAACCATTTACTCACTCATGTCCTACAAAGAGTTTTGCTGCCCTCAGATCCAATTAGCCCCACACCTCATCTGCTCTTCTGACATTGAAACTGAAAATGCAGGTACCCAGCACTGACAGGCCAGTTTTATGGGGAATTCCTCCCTGACCTGTGTCCTCATGAAGAATTTTACATTTTCATGCTTTGTTCCTGGGACACAGTGAACCGTGGACAGCCCTGAGCACAGGCTACTGGAAATGGAAGGGCAGGTCTCTGGTTTGAACCCTGGAAAAGCAGAATCCATGAGCAGGAGACTGTTTACCTGCTAGAATGTTCCCAAGTTCTGACTACAATATGAGCTAGAAAAGGCTCATTTTGCTTCTTTCAGCAGAAAAAGGTCCAGCTCCTCAGGCACTGGTTTGAACACCTCTGGACAATCAGCCAACATTTTAGTGTCATCAGGTGGCTTGGTTTTGTTTTTGTGTTACTGAGATTTCAAAAACAATGAATGGGAAATTGAGAGAAAAGCCTGTTACCACAAGAAAGTAATTCCAAATATAGTTTCTAAACAGAAAAGTTATTTTTTCAATTTGAAAGTTGTCACAGAACAAGAGTGAGAGCAGGCTGAGGTTTTTGTCCCACTTCCCCATGTGTGTGTGTCACTGTGAGAAGCACTGCTGTGCCATATGGCACAGTAATAGTCAGCCTCATCTTCAGACTGCAGCCCAGAGATCAGTAAAAGCCCTGCATTGGCTGAAGCATCTTTGGATCCAGAGAAGCGGCTGGGGACTCCAGAGCCCTGGTGCTTATCTGAGTCTGAGTAGTAGTACAGAAGGTACCGGGGAGGACTCCCTGGCTTCTGCTGGTACCAGTATATGCTGTAACTACCAACATTGATGCCACTGCTCAAGGTGCAGGTGAGTCTGGCTGATGCTCCCGGAGATGCTGAGAGGGAGGCCGGCTGGGTCAGCACAGGCTGGGAGAGGGAACCTGCAAACACAGGCATTAATGGGTGATATGGCAGAAAGCAGGCTAAAGTTGTTCAGGGATTTTTGCCAGAAGAGTCACAATCAGGCTGAGGTGCTGGCCCTGGTCTCTGAGGCCTTTTCCTGCCTGTGCAGTGAGAGAGGAGCAGGAGGAGGAGAGGAGTCCAGGCCATGGTGGACACAGCCTCTTTCCCCGCAGTGGGACTGGGCTGCCCCAGGCCTCCTTTTCTTCCCACCCTCTGCAGAGGAGGGGCTGCTCATGCAAATGTGTTTCCACCCAGGGACTGCCCAGCCCCTCCCTGAGCCCTGGGGATGCAGCTCAGCTCACACTGCAGCCTGAGCAGGAGGAAGGTTTGCTTTTCTTCTTGCAAGGCCCTGGGAGGAAGCACCTGTTGAGACCATACACAGGTCCCTGCTCAGGGATCTCTGCCAGGCCAGAGGGGACACAGCTGCCGAGTCCCCATTGGTGAACACAGGGCCCAGTCCCAAGGGCTGGATTTCTCTGAGTGAATGGTCCTTACTGAGCAGCCGTGTAGCAAGAACTGGGCAGCTCCACAACATCCAATGCTGGTCCCAGGACACAGACTTTCCCGTGGCTCAGAGACTTCAGAATCCAGCTGGTCTCTGCAGCTCTCCAGTCACTGATAGTGTTCACATATCCGTGGTCTGATTACTAGAGACTGCTTCTTTTTTAAAGAGCTAGGGACTCTTTTAAAGGATGGTGAAAATGAGAGTTTTCCAGGAAAACTAAAGGATCCATGATATGTTGAAGGCAGCAATTCAGCAAAAGTTATATATACAGTGGTTTCGTGTGTTTTATGCAGATTTGACTCAATTTAGTAATGTAGGAAAATTAATAGATTTGGTAGACTTACTTTGATCAGTGAGCAGTGTGACATATTTCTCTGTTTTATGAAGTTAGCCATTATCTCCCTAAGTAAAACTTGTCATTGTCTACACAGTTGTGTTATATTTTTTGGTCAAGAATTTGTCCTAGATGTTATACAATTTGTTTGTATTGTGATATGCCACATGTATTTTTTGATGGGATGTTTTCAGTTTATTAGAAAGATCAGTATGTATTTTTCCCTCAAAGTTCTCTTACAAGTGAGAAGACAAGGGCAGAGACCATCACTTCTCAAAGTAGCCACGTCTACTGTTGTGTAACTGTGCAAACGGCCCCTGGATTTCCAGACTCATAAGGTGCTTTAGTGAAAAATCTAGAATCAGGATCACTCACTTCCCTCAGGCACTCTCTCCTCAGGGCATTCAGAGAGATCCTGCTCTTTCAGATGGGGCAGGGAGGGCACTCCCTGACTTAAACCCCTTCAGTAACTCCTCATTTTTATAAAACCTGAGCCCTGGGGCCTCGTCAGCCTGCCCCTCACACTGTGGCCCCTGCAGACCCCCGCAGTCCAACTCATATCCCCTCCTCTTACTTCTAGGGCTCCGGACTCACTCGCTTCTCTGTCCTGGGAAACCCTGAGCTCCCGTCTTTCCCACGTTCTCCACACCAGCTTCTCCTCTGCCTGTTTGGAGAAGATGGGCTTCTACTTGAAGTCACAGTGTAAGCTTACATTTTGTCCACATTGTACACCTGTTAAAAGCAGAACATAAACATCTCATTACAAACAAGGATATTTCCAACACTGGTTAGCATGGAAATTTTTGAGTCAGAAAACATACTGATAATTTTCTAATGAATTGTTTGTACTCTTCAGCCAACTTTGATCATCATCTTTGTGGTTCATGTTGTTTAACTTTTCAACACCTGTTTCCCAGCAACTTACCCCCTTGCTAGGTGATTTCTACAACAGATCAACGAAAAGGTATTTTATCATTGGTACATAAATCAACAAATATATACCTTTGAAATGTTCCCTAATTTTTGTGCATTAAAGCAACAGATTTCAAGGATTCTCACATTAATTGATTTGTTTTTTGATCATCCATATCTAAAGTTAATTTATTGTAATAAGTGGAAAATTGAAGGAAGCACAATGAATGTTAAGATTTGCAGATGCAGGACTCACAGCATTGCATATTGGATTAGAATAAAGTCCAGATGGGCACCTACATTCCTAATTATTTATTGACTTTACCCACTCCTCCTAGTGCAGAAATATCTCTTCTGTGGACACAGAGCTCATAAACCCATCATTCTTCCTTCAAAAATTTCCTCAGCAAAGCCTATTATAGGACTTCTGGTTGATGAGTTTAATGTTTGATTTGCATTGATCACATGGCTGATTTGAAGCTCTGTAATGAATATTGTGTTGAAGGATTGCTAATGTAAAGTTTCTTAGTTGTATAATCATTACCAGACATTTTTCCAACTCACCCATATTCTGCAGTTTATTTGCTCTCAAGGGATTTCTGTCCCCCGAATTTGCTTTATGATCTACTGGCTTCCTGTGGTTTCTTTAAGCAGGACTGGGAAAGCCCATCACGCCCTCTCCACTTCCTCCACATGAACCCATGGGATCCAGCATCTATGGATTCATGGGAATCAGACCATAAATGAGTGAAAAGAGGCTGTGATGGGCAGCTGCAGAGACCAGCTGGGCTCTCAAGTCCCTGGGCCATGGGGAGATATGTGTGATATATTTGTATTTTCATATTCATATCCTTGTCCTGCTAACCAAATCCGAAGGAAAATGTTCTCACTTAATATCTTCTGTTGAATGAACTTTGAATCTCAAACACAAAATTTCCAGAATTTTTTTAAAAAATTATTATCTTGACCTCAGATTTGTACCTCTTCCTGGCATTCCAATGTGGGTGAACTCACATATTTAACAAACATGTTTTGAGTCTGTCCTTAGTGCCAGGCAGTGTTATGGGCTCTGTAGCTACAGCAATGACAAGACAGAAAATAGCAGCAACTACAATGAACAATCTCATGGAGCTGAAACCTCAGCAGGGGAAACACAGAGAATAGAGTCACTAGCTGTAAAGAAACATTTTCATGTGGCTGATCCCACCCTGACCAGTTAGTCACCCTGGGATTTAAAGCCTGTTGCTGACAACTGAGAGACCTGCATTTCTATAATTCTGAAGAATGGATTGACTTCTGCAGAACTTGATGGTTTTATTTGACTATGTGTGTTGTAAATAATCCCGTGTAAACAGAATGTGGTCATTCATCTTGGCCTCACAAATGGCTGGGATCTTACTGTAGGTCAGAGGTCAAACAGAGCATTCCCATCCTTCAGAGGAATTCCCCAGGGTAACTAGACAGCTGAGTGTGAGGAGATAGCTTTGTCATCACATAACCTCCCCACTGCTCTGTTTGTGATGGAGAAAGAGTAGCAGAGACACCACAGCCCTGGAAGTCTGCCCTGGGAAGGTGGCAGGGAGGAAGGAAGGTAAAGAGAAGGGTGAATAAGGATGCCTGGGTGGGGGCTGGACCTCCTTTCCTTGCCCAGACACAGAATCCTGCCTTTCCACTGCTCTCTAGCTTTTTCATTGACCTTTACCCACCCTTACCCCCCATCACTGAGGAGGCCACAAGGACTCTGCCCCATAATGACAGCTTGGGAGCCTTTTGCCTGTGCTGGGCCTCAGTCCTCAGACTCCTGCAGCAGCACAGACTGCAAATCAGTGTGCTCCCAAATCAGCTACTTCAGCACTGACACCTCGGCTCTCATGGTTTCTGACAGAGCTCTGGGAGGTTTCATCGTGAGTTTTAACAGCAGCAGCCCCTTGGATGTGTAGGGGATCCTCCCACATGCTCTGCAATGCTCTGTCCTGACCCTTGGGGCTTTTGCTCAATAGAAAGTAAACCGGTCTCTTTTCAGGTGTGAAGAGTGATGGTTCACATTAATCTTATTGAATAGCAGGGAAGGGCAGCAATGAGTGCTGAGTCCTATGAGCTTTCCAGAGAGAAGAGGAACGTGACACACTCGATCACAGCTGCAGGCAGTTGTCAGGTTTCCATCACAAGGACAAGCTCAGGGCCTTAACCATTCACCTCTTTCCTCTAGTCCTTCTCACTATGGTGTGGGTCACACACATTTGTCCCTGCTCAGCTGCCACATTACTTTCCAGAGACCTCATCTCTCATGTGTACAAAGCCACCATGTCCTAGCTGGACCATCTGCCTTCACTCTGTCCCCTCCTTTTTCATTTTCCTTGGAGAAGCTGGACTTTTCCTCCTGAATCTCAAACCAGAGTCTGTGTCTTCCTTGCTTCCAACCTCCTAATGGCTTCCTGTTCCTCACCGTGTGCTGGCCCACGTCACCTCTTGCATACCTCACAATATGCCCTATTTCCTTTGACTTGTTGGTGCTCACTCTTCTGTGAGGTATTATCCTTGTAAAGACAGGAACCCTGTCTGTCTTCAAAACTCTGTATCCTGAGCCCTCTCCTGAGCCTGGCACATAGTAGGTGTTTAGTGGACAATAAAGATGAACAGACCTTTGCATTAGTTCACATGCCTGAGGCAGACCCAGTTGGATTCTGTCCCTGCTTAACCTGACTCATCTTGTGTCTGTCTCCAGGGCAGTCTGTTCCTGGAATCAAAGACTTTCTGATTTTTTTGAGGCAGTCTGACAATGCTGTTGCTAAGGGCCTCCTCTGGGGGCTGGCACTGAGAGAACAAAGCTGTATTGTCTAGATCACTGTCCCTGAACTGCGTCTTGGGCCCTGGTTAGCGGCATCACCAAGAAACATCCACGCAAATGGTAAACACACCAGCTGTCCTGGTTGTGGGTGGTGCTGTTGGAAGGTCAGGCTCCTAGGAGACCTGATGTGTTCCCATCTCCCGTCCCCAGACTGCAGCACTGTTTGGACCTCCAGGGGGCTGTCTGAAGCCAACAGGAGTGATCAGCCTTGTCCTCAGCCTAAAGCCCGAAGCTGCTTAGGAAGGCCTCCTTGCAAGACTGGTGGCCTGAGCATCCATCCTGGATCCCTGCAGTCAGATATGTACTTCTGTGAATCAGCAGTTTGGAGGCACTTCCTGGTCATTGTTGGTACCAGGTCACAATTCCAAGAATGTCATTTGTGCTGCTTGCAGCGCAGGAGATGGTAACTGGTTTAGCCACAGATAGACGGTGCAGGCTACCAAATGAGCCCTGATTGCCCAGTACTGTGAGAGTCAGGAGAGAGACACGGGGTGAGGGAGATGGCTCAGTGCGCCAGGGGAGCAAAGCAGAGCCCTGGCCCTCCCAGT